TCTCTTGAAGGCAGGTCCTGAGCTAGCCCCCAAGATTATGAAATATTCAGGGCCGAATTTGGACCTTGACTTGAGGGTCTGAAACTGGTGTCACTGTGGCCACTGGCTCCAGCCTGGTCTGGAGGAAATGCTCTGTTATGCTGCATCATTTCAAGGTCTGTAACCTGAAGAGCTAAGTCTAAAGATCAGATTCTTGGCAATGAAAATTCAGAAGCTATCATAGTCTTCGATTGAACATCCCAATAGTTTTATTAAGGACGTGTCCCTGTATTTTATGCTTGCTAATTAGCAAATTCAAACACTTTATTTCTGTGTTATCTTTGTGCAAGAGAGTGGCAAATTTGTCATTAAAATATTGCAAAAATTTAAAGGTTCACAAGCAATTAGATTTTATTATTCTTGTTTATGCCCCTGAAGAATTGTTCATTTTAAAACTTTATAGTTAATATGTACAAAGATAAAACAGTGGCCTGTCTTACTCTGGGGACAGAAGTCAAGTGATTGAGTGAGCTGAATGAATTATTAAAGATCATCAGCTTTTGGAGCTACTTGCATTGATTCTTAGCTGACTATTGCAGCCCATTTATATCCAAGAAGAGGGTCTGTCCCCGTGTTATTTACGTTTCCCTTCCTTATTTACGTTGGACTAGCAGAGATCATGCATCATTCTAGTTCAGAAGCCCGGAATTACATACCTGCTAGCAAAATCCAGCATAAACTTGCTCTTATTTGTGTGACAGGCCCTTTCTTCTTTGATTGCCTAAAGGCTACCATTACAGTCAGATAGCCAGTTATGCAGTAACGCACCCTGCTTGAACTGCACGGAGGGTGCTTTGGGCCGGTGCCGGGTGCGGGCAAGGGGCTGGGGTGGCTCTGGCGGGCAGCGGTGGGTTTACAGATAAAGTCTGCACTGAGAAACCGTCTCCTCTGTGCCGAGAAGCTAGACCCAGAAGCCTAAGCTTTAAGGAAACTGCAAATTGCTGGGGGTGAAAGAGGGAGAAGACCGCTCTTGATTTCATCAGCCCTCCAAGGAGAGGTCACGGCTGCTCACTTCCCTCTGAGTCACCCTGACTGTAAATTCTGTCATTGAGCCTTGCTCTGACAGCCCAGATTTGGGTGTCCAAGTGTCCTCTGCCCTTCTGCAGCTGCTGGCTGGATCGGAGAGACCCATCACCCCCGTCCCTTCTCCCAGGGATCTCCTTGGGATGGAGAGCTGACGCCTGACCCCAGATCCAACCCTTCTGGTCTGCCCGAGTAGAGGGAGGTGAGCAGTCCTGTCTCCTTCAGCTGGGCTGGCTGTCCTCGGTCTCCAAGCCAGGTGTGCAGCAGTGCTGAGCTCAGACCGCGCTTCCAGGCTGCGACGATCATTATGGCCTGTCTGGGGCTGCTCTGACTAGATTCCCTAAGCAGGCACGACACAGCCCTGCAGCTGCGAGGTTCATTACTCCATCCCCACGCTGCTGGTGCGGCCAGTCCTGCTCACTGCCTCTGACTGCTCAGACGACGAGCTCCGTTATTTTTTCTAGTGTCAGAGAGTCCAGGAGTGCAGAGTGCGCTTATAACTTGCTCTTCTCATGCTTAAGTGGTGGAACTGAGATGTTTGCAGCAATTTCAGGACAGGAAGAAGATTTCTCTTTGATTGCTTTTTAATCACAGTAATAACAGTAATGGAGGCAGTGAGTGGAATTGATGGGAAAGAGCTGAGTTCTGTTCTCTGGTAGCTCCCATGTGGGGTAAACAAGGAGGATTTACTGGCTTCTCAAGTGAATTAGTAGTATCCTCGCTCTTCAGGAATGACTGTCAGCAATGTCTGGGGAAAAATAGCTAGTATCCAGCACCTGGGAGAAGAAATATGCCAGGCATCCTTTGGAAAGCTCCCTGCTTTAGTGTATCTAGGGTAAACGAATAAACCTTGCCTGCCTCTGTTCTTGTCCCCACAGATTCACGTGTACAATTGCTCTTTTAAGCAGCTGTCAGGGCTACCTCTATGCATGTCTGGCCTTGAATCCGCGTCTTTAGCAGCCTGCAAAGGATTTATTCTCTCCCTCAGAGACAAGAGAAGCCATGATCTAGGCAAGAAATTTGAGCTGTGCAGAACTGGAGGCCTATATCCCCAGAAGGGTTGAAGTGGGTGGAGGGTCCCAATGGTGCCCAGAACCAACCTCCTGGGGAGACTCGGGTCCAGGCTGGGGCAGAACAGTGCCTCAGCTCAGCAGGTCTCCTCGCAGCCTGGTCTCTCCCAGGCTGATTTTGGCCTGTGCATATGTGAGCAAGCGCTTTCCTCTGGTGGGAACTGGTGAGGTTTAACTCTGGCAGGGGAGAGGCACTGAGATCACAACCAACCACAGGCTGAGGGGTTTCTAGAAATGCTCTTGCAGGGAAGGACTTGTGTGGCACTGGTGTTTGGGAACTGACCTAGCTGGGCATATCTGCAGGGGAGGCTCAAGGTGTATTATACTAGCAGTGTGTGCATCAGTCTGGCTTTGACCTTCAAGGATGTGGGAATTTTCTCTGAGCTGACATGACCCTGACTCAAAATATCCAGAAAGCAGTGAAAAGAAAGCCTCTAGGAGTTGGGAAAATGGGTTCTCCAAGCTCCTTGCTCATCTAAAGAATATTTTGAAGAGACTTAACCTCACTGAGACTCTTACAAGCATACAAACACCAAAGACAGAGACCTCATTCCCAGGGTTTTTGGTCAGACATGGAGCTTTCTCCTTTATTTCTGCAGTATGTTGCGCACGTGAAGGGCCTCATTTACATCAGCGCAGTCGCGTCCTGTCTGAGGAGGTGGAATTCCTCTTGCTTTGCTGATCAAGACAAACACGATAAAAACAGTTCATGCACGATACACCTCGAAGCCGCGCTGCTAGTTCCCTGGGACTGTGAGGTGCAGCGGGGCCGGAGCTGTGCCCCGTCTTCCACTCCTCCGGTGGGGCAAAGGACTGCGAGGAGACCAGCGGGGCTGGAAGGGGAGGCCCAGGCTAACAGAAACGGGGAGCAGCTCTGTTCCTGTCGCCGGAGTGTGCCAGCGTGAGAAGTCGTGTGTGCGAGGTCTGAGTGAGGCCCTTGAAGCGAGGAGAGGGAGGGGAGCAAACAGGGCTGCAGTGGTGGGGGAGGGCAGAGCCGGCGGGGAGGGGGTAGTGGGAGGAAGGGGACACTCGCTTCTTCAGGCCAGTCGTTTATGTGCTGGGCAAGGGGCAGTGCAGACCCCGGCTGACACCGCAGCAGGCTTTCTTCAGGGCAGGGAAGAAGGGGGGGGTGGATTTTAACATCCGAGTTTTGGAGGAGGAGGAGGGATCATGCCCACATTTTGGAGAATAGAAGGAGGTGGTGGAAGCTTTTACTAGAACATAAGGGACCCCAGTGATTACTGGACGCCTGCTCGGGAGCAAAACAAACAGTTGGATTGGGGGGGGGCTTATTTTATCCTTTAACACACATACTCAAACCCCTCAGTGTATTTCCTAGCAACTCTATCCCAGTTTCCTTCTCTTCACGTCCTTCCCTACCATGCTATCCCCTTCCCCTCTGGTCATTAAGGAAAAAAAATAATTATAAGTGCCATTTCAAGTATTCTGGAGCAACCAACTTTGGGCCTCAGAACTTTTGTCTGAGATGTTGGATTAAAAAGCAGCAAGTATTTTTGCATGGGGATTAGCAAGAAAGTAATTTTCAGAGAGCGATAGGCATGACCTCTCTCAGCAAGGTGTTGCAAGCATTTGGGGGTAGGAGAGGTGGGGGAAGCCATTCCAAAACCCGCTTGAACAGAGCAAACCATGAAAACTAGCTGTCAGGTCTTGGTTCTCTGTTCTGCAGCTGCTTATCACCATTTGAGGGCTCTGATCCTGCAATGGGCCATCTGCTCCCACTGACTGGCCTGGGGAGGTTTTTGCATAGCATGGACCCAACAACAGCATTGTCCAAGGGGAAGGAAAATAATTTCAGCGAGATCATGGAAAGGTTAACCGGCCCTGGCTGGTTTGCAGGCTGGGTGCTGATGTGATTCATCTATCTAGGGGACAAATAAAAAATATTATCCCAATCAAAAAGCTGTGGTACTAATTCCCATTGCAGAAAAAATACCTGAACCACAATAGATAAATCAATTTTGTTTTAGGGGAATTAAAAAAACACAACAAAACAAAAAAGCACCCAACACCTATGGCATCTAATCAATCTTACATTAGTAGGATGGATTTTCTTTTTATTTCTTAATTTGAAAAGGTGGCTGGAGGGGTACTTTAATGGGATAGAAAGCCTCTCTGCCCTCCACCAGTAGCTGGCCTTGGGCTGTAGCAGCTCCAAATAGGTCCTGTTGGCTGGCTTTTTTTGGAAGGCAGCAGGAGCAGAGCTGAGCTGACGAAGGGCCCCGAGGAAGCATGCCACCACCGGCATGGGCTGGAGGGAGTCTGCAGGGATCTCAGGGAGGTGGCAGCGCTGGACCTGATCCCAGTGAGAGCTGTGTGTCCCTGTCTGAGGCAGGGACGGGTGACGGGGTAGAGAGGCATGGGAAGAGCTTTAGCCCGTCACTGCTCCCAGTTGGCTGAGGCCTCTCCATTCCAGGAAGACCTTTGGCTCCCCCCAGATTGGGACCTTTCACCAGGACTTAATAGCTATGGTCATATAAACACACTCAGGACAAGGGGGCAACTGGTATAGCAGAGTGGGGAGGGTGCTACCCAAGCATGCATGCTTCCCAGGAGAAGCAGAGCAGCTCGCTCTGCAGAGGCAAAAGGAAGGGCATTGACAGAGAGGGAATAAGGAGGCGACAGCAGAGGATGGAGTTACATTGTTAAGGCCTGCAGAGCTTTCAAGGTGATTGGGTGATTTGGAAAAAGTCCTCGTCTCCTCTAGTAAAGGCTATTCCCTTCTGCACCTTCCCTCTCCCTGGCAGAGATTAGAGCAGTAAGGTTAATACAGTAGCAGGTACATCCATGAAAATCCGCAGCTGAGTCTTCACTCCAAGTGCTGCCAGCTCTTCCCTAAATCTTCAGGAATCATGGTGCCTCGTTGGAAGTGGCTCCATTGCCTTTGTTGACGTAAAAGGGGCGGTAATGTGACTGCAATGGAGAATTTGGGGCATGTGAGTTTGACCTACCTTCTTTTTCTGACTGCCTATACTTCACCCTCCTAGGTAGCCCAACCTTAACATACTCCTATCTTGACACCTTCAATCTTTCCTCTTGCAGAGCAACACCGCCTCTTTTCACTACTGGAAGTGCTGGAGTGATCAAATGCAAATGGTGTTGCTTTTGGATTTATGCACATGCTTTGCATGGACTTCATTCCTGAGCCAAATGATCTGTGCATCATATAAAATCTCAGACTGTGACTCATGGTTTGATGAGAGGTTTCTGGGAGAAGAGGAATGTCACCTTTATTTTTATGCTTCTGTCAGTGTCTTTTAATTGCTCACTAACCTGAGAACTCATGGGAATTTTCACACTTAAAGCTATGCACGATTATGCGAGTGATCAACTAAGTTGCTTGGTATTTATTTGTGCTCTTTGGCTGGCAAGCCAAAACTCTTGTGCATGGAAATTCTCGCACAATGGTGTATTGTTTATTTGCGCCTCCACATGTTGCAGGGCCCAGTACTAAATGTTTGTGTAAACAGAAGCATAAGTGGAGAGATGGGGCAGAACCTAAAGGAATTGCCATTTTCCTGTCTGTTTACTGCAGTCCCTAATTGTATCTCTTTTCATCGGGACCTACCCCTGGAATTTCACTCTTATCTGCACCATTACAAATAAGAAACATGTGGCAAAGTTGTCGTGTAGCCTAGTGTTGGCTTGGAATCATTGCAAAACACAAAAGCCAATTTATTGACTGTGATAGCTGGTTGCACTGTTTAAGGCAAAATCTTTAGCCTGGATAAGAATATGCTTACACCAATGAAGCAGTGACCAAGGAATCAGGAACAACTGTGGTTTTGTAATGTCTGATCTGTCTTAGGTTTGATCCGCTGCCCAGGTCTCTGTTGCAGAAGGTGGGAGAGACCTCACAGGAACATGCTGGTACATTTTTGTGCAGCGCACTGGTTGATATTGGGCATTGCAGGAGGCTGGGAGGATGGGCAGAGCAAACCCAACCTATCTTGCTGCTCAGTGCTGTCTCCCAATACCTCCTGCTCAATGTTCCCTTTTGTTGAACAACTTTTCATTTTATGGCTTTAATTTCCAATGTAATTAAGAGATGGAAGAAGGGGGCTTCATTTTAAAGAACTCCCTCTGGGTTAAAAAGACATTCCTCCTTAAAAATAGTCCTTTGTGAAAATTCATATTTACAGAGCTTTTAGAATGTGTATTACTTAAATACATATTTAAGACTATTTTAAAGGCTAGATTATTGGCCCAATAGACCATAAAAGCTTCTGCAGAGCTACTGCAGTCCAGAGCATGTATTTCTATTTTGGGACTTTTTAATGCTTATATTATCAACTCAGTTGTGAGGTTCAGGGCTATCTGGTGAATATAGGCTAGAAAAATAAAATAGCCACTACAAGTGTATGCATGAGAGAGAAAGGGAGACAGAAAAAGGCTGGTGGCTTCGTGTGGGAGAAGTTACCCAGGCTTTCTCTATGGGGATTAAGGAAAGCATGGGTTGTGTTCATGGAGCACAGCACACTGACTGTCGTGCAGTGGGGTGCGTATTACTAAGACGACCATCCTCACATCCACCAGTGCCCACTGCTAACAGAGACTTCACTTTCCTTGACCAGACTTCCCCAGTATAACACCACTATTAGGGAGGATAGGTTGGTATCTAAAATCACTGGGAAGAGTCTCCATCTGAGCACACACATGATGAAGTAAACGATCTTTTAGAAAGGTGGTGATCAAATATAAGACAGAAGATATTGCAAAACCTTGCTGTTCCTAGGAGATATATTTTGCTGTAACACATTCAGAGACTCAAGGCTGGATTTTCTGAAAGTGGTACAGTCTACCAAGGAACACCCCTTTCTCTGGCATTCATCTCCTGGTGGGGCCTTGAAAATTTAGCAGAGACATACAGCCGCAGTCCTTAGGCGGCCACTTTCTAACGGTTGTGTATTTCCTCTGTTTGCTTCCTTCAGTGTGGGAATGCCCTCGATTCTTGACCCTCTCCTTCTTACAAGTCTTATTTCCTGGGAACAGTAAATAATCTTTCACAAAGGTATAATCAGAATTAAAAAAATAGATTTCATCTGCAGAGATGGGGGCAAAAACTTGACGATCTGAATTCACATTGTGCAAGACCTTAATGCAGCACTGTGTGAATGGATGTTAAGAAAAACAGATGAACTTAGTGTTTCTGTGGTTATGCATTAACTGTTTGTTAACGTTGTATATTTAAGATTACAAGACCTAAAATATCACTGTCCTCTGCCCCTTACAATGCACTGTTACCTGTTTTGTGCTAACAGTGCAAAATGAGTGACTTACAGATGTTCTAGTGATTTTTGATTGTAGTCTGACCCCTCATCTTTGATATTGCATCTGCCCACTGTAGGATGTAATTAGCAAGGTACTTTTATGTGGTTGTCTCTGGTGTCACTTACACGATCTGTACTTTCTAGATGTCACAGACTGCTGAGAGTGTATAATAGCCCTGCAGGGAGGAAAAGTACTACAGATAGCAGCATGTGTGCTATAGTGTTTGTATAGCTTCTAGAAGCCTGGATCAAATTTTAGACCAGGGCAAAATCTTTTCAAAATGTCATTTTGAATTATTGATTATTCCTACAACCCAGAAATGTGGAGGCAGGGGGGTTAATCTGTATCCCTCTGTGGATGCAGTTAACCACAGAAAAAAAATAATAGAAGCTGTTGACTTGAAGCTTCTACTTTCCCATCTCCAAAGGACCCAAGCCCTAGACTCTGAAGTCTCAGGTATCCCTAGAACAGATAGTTCTCTTGCTGAAGCTGTGCACATGCTTTCACACCAAAGGTATATTTCTTACCAATACAGACTGCTTAGAGGATTTCCATGTCTGTGGCGTCACCTTTGCAGACTGATGTCTCACTATTGAAGGATAAGCTGTGACAACATAAAACAGCCTGTTATAGATCGGTCCCTGCACCATCCCCGTCTCCCCTTGCGAGCATCAAGATGAGTAGCTGGACTGGAAGTGCCACATAATTAGTATTGCATTGCTTAACATTGAAATGCAGCCATTTCCGGGGTGGGACACAACAGCCGTCAGACAGATGCCTATTCTGCCACCCAATCAGTTAGGAAAAGGGAGTAAAGAAGGTCTGTCTAATTAAAATATCTGAGGAATGCAGAGACGTGGATTGCAATCAGTCCAATTAAGTTTAGGCCAAGTCCCGAACTAAGCATTCTGACTCTTGCAAAGAACACTATAGGCTGTTTAATTAGTGCAAAGAGCTGAGGCCTGCGTTTCATGTCAGAAATTAATGACAGTACCTCTGGCAGTGTGATAAGCCCTAACCCCCTTCTACCACACCAGCTCTATTCTGATTCAAAAGTAATACCAGCCCTGCTGTGAATCACAACCAGTTTCAGTGCTATCAGGCAATGGCCTTTCCTCACCATCTCCCATTCGTAAATTAATCAGACCTGATTCTGCTTGGCAGGTGCTGATGCTCTTGGATTCTACCTCTGGTGCCCTTGAACTAGTGGGTAGTGAAAAGAGGATTATGAGATGGTGAATGGGGGATTCTGGTTCAGATGAAGGAGGACAGGCACCTACTGCATATGTTTTTTTAAAGCTTGGCTCAGTGCCTATTATTCTTTCAGGATAATAGCTGTTCTAAAACACTGATGAAGCTAGAGGGGTAAATGGCCATGAACATAATTTCCTGGTATCTTTTTCTCCCTGGTCCCTACACCTCTAAAATAATCTAAAATTCTTATCTCTACCCATTACAAACAAAATTTAAAACCCTTTCAACTATTCACTAGATATAACTTTTAATACTTTTTAACACTCTGTAAAACTCCTGTA